AAAAAAAAAAAAAAAAAAAAGGAATGTTTTAGTAGGGCATAGTGCTTCACAACTGTAATCCCAGCACTTGGGAAGGTGAAGCAGGAAGATTTGCTAAAGTTACATAGCAAGACCCTATCTTATGAAAACCCAATGCTACACAAAGTTTCGTTGTGATAATGGTGTTAGGTGAGCTTTTCTTTGTTAAAGACATGAAAATGTTATCTATAAATGTCTTAAAACTTACCAAGAAAGAAAGAAACTGAGCCAGCAAGATGACTCAGTGGATGCCAGGCATGATGGTACCCACCTTTAATCCCAGCACTTGGGAGACAGGTGAGTCTCTGTGAGTTCAAGGTCAGCCTGGTCTACATAGTGAGTTCTAAGTCAGGGCTACAGAGTGAGACCCTGCATCAATCAGTCAGTCAATCAATGGCTCAGGGGATAAGGGCACTTGTCACCAAGCCTAATCACCTGGGTTTGATCCCTGGAACCTACATGATAGGACAGAACTCACGCTCTCAAGTTGTCCTCCGACCTCCATATGGGTGCCATAGCACAGGGGCATCCACCCATCCAAACAAATAAATAAATAAACGCTTCTTAGGGTGTAAAACAGCCAGGTGTAGTAGCACGTTTCTAATCCAGTACTGGAGTAGACACGGGTAGATCTTCGAGAGCTCAAGGCTACCCTGGTCTACAGTTAGAAGGCAGCCAGGGCTACACAGTGATAACCTATCTAGAACAAAACTAAACTAAAACTAGGAAAAAGAGGAGGAGGAATGAAAGAAGCCAGGAGTAGCGACTCGCACATCCAGAGTTCCAGCAAGCCTTGGTTCAGCTACAGTTGAGAGTCTGCTAAAAAAGGCCGTGGGGAGAGGATGGAGGCGGCGCAGCAGTGAAAAGCATGCACTCATGCACTATTGCTTTTGCAGAGGGCCCAGTGGTCAGCATAGGTATCAGGAGGCTTACAGCCACCTGTAACTGCAGTTCTAGAAGTGTCTGATGCTTCTCATTCGCACAGGTACTTGTGCTCCCATGCATATACACACCAAAAAAAAAAAACTTTAATTAAAAAAAAGAATGACACAGTAGTATCTAAATTTAATTCATTACACTAGTTCCCAGATTTGTGAAATAACATTTTTGAGACAAGGTCCCACAAAGTAGTGCCGGCAGCCTTCAAACTCACCAATCTTCCTGAGTGCTAGGGTTACAAGTGTGTGTCTACTTTAAACCTGAAAAAATACAGGCTCTCATGTAGCCCAGGCTGGCCACACACTCACTATGTAGCTGAGAATGACCTTAAACCTCTGGTCCTCTGGTCTCCACCTATCAAGGGCTAGGATGACAGATCTACACCACCATGACAAGGTTAGTCATGCTGGGGAATGCACCAGGGCTAGGCAAGCACTCTCCCCCTAAACTACATCCCAATCACCCAAACTAACGAGTTACAATAAAAGTTAGAGCACTTGGGAAACAGGCAGGAAGACTGTGGCGGGAGGGCAGTCGGGGATGCACAGCAAGACCCTGTCTCTAAACTGCGAAAAGTAACATGTCAAGGAGATGGTGTCCTAAGCTGCATCTTACTAAACAAAACCATCAAAGTGGGCCAGCGAGATGACTCAGCAGGAAAGACACTATGCCTGACCTGACTTCAGCCCCAGTGACCACGTGGGAGGAGAATGGACTCCCACAAGTTGTTCTCTGATCTCTACTACATGCCATAGCTTGAGCACACAGACACACACACACACAGACACACACACACACACACATACACACACACACAAAGATAAAAGTAGTAATAGAATATTTAGAGCTATTCATATCAGGAAATTTATAAGAAACTGGGACTTCAATTACTAATACCCAATGCATTTTTTTTTATATTTTTTGAGATTTATTTACTTTTGGTTTTTCAAGACAGGGCTTCTCTACGTAACAGCTCTGGCTGTCCTGGAACTCTATTTGCTGACCAGATTCACAGAGATCTGCCTGCCTCTGCTTCCCAAATACTGGAATTTAAGTTGTGGGCCCCCACCACCCAGGGGGGGTTCTTTTTATTTTATGTGTATGAGTGTTTTGCCTGAATGTATGTCTGTGCATAACATGCATGCAGTGTCCATGGAGCGACTCGGATCCCCTGGCAAAGAAGTTAGAGCTTACAAACTTACAGGTGTGAGCCGTCATGTGGGTGCTGGGAATTGAACCCGGGTCCTCTGGAAGAGCAGGCAGTGCTCTTAACCACTGAGCCATCTCTCCAGCCCTTAATCCTTAATTCTAAACATACACTATATTTACTTTTTCCACTTGGAGGACAGGTGGGGACAGGGAGTATACCTCAGTGACAGAGTACTCATCTAGTATGTGCAAAGCTCTAGGTTCAATACTCAATACAAGGCCCTCTCCAAAAACAAACAAACAAAACCCAAACAACCCCCCCCCAAAAAAAAAAAACCCAAAAACATAATGCAGAGAGTGTTGGGTCATCCAAATGGCCCAGCAGGTTAAGGCACTTGCTGCCAAGGCTGATGACCTGACTGTAGGACCCATGTTGTAGAAGGACAGAATCAATTCCTGTGAGTTTGAGATCAGCCTAGATGATAGAGCTAGTTTAGGACAGCCAAGGCTACATAAAGAAACCCTGTCTCAAAAAAAAAAAAAAAAAAAAAAAAGAAAAGAAAGACGGAGGGAGGGTTGGAGGTATGGTTCAGCAGTTAAGAATACCAGTCACTTTCCAAAGGACACGGTTTGATACCCAGCACCCATGCAGCAGTTTAAAACTCCCTGTGATTATAGTTCTATGGGATCCAACACTTTCTGCTAACCTACTTGGGTACCAGACGTTCACATGATGCACGAACGTACATACATAAAGGCAAACACCCGAACACATAAAAGAGAGAAAGAAATAAAGGGAGGGGCTGGAGAGATGATTCAGTAGTTAAGAATACTTTAGCACTGGGTGTTGGTGGTGCCTGCTTTTAACCCCAGCACTTGGGAGGCAGAGCCAGGCAGATCTCTGTGAGTTTGATGCCAGCCTGGACTGCAGAGCAAGATTCAGGACAGGCACCAAAACTACATGGAGAAACCCTGTCTTTAAAAAAAAAAAGAAAGAAAGAAAGAAAAGAAAAAGAAAGAATGCTTCTTCCTCTTCCAGAGGCCCAGAGTTCAGTTCCTAACACCCAGAATAGGTAGCTCACAATCTCTTGTAATTCCAGCTTTAAGGAACTCTGTTCTGGTCTCCACAGTCAACCTCACACAGATACATATACATAAATAAAAACAAAACGAAATGTAAAAAAGAAAGCGAAAGAGATGGTTAGGATACCTCCTGTTGTGAATAATCAGCATCATTCATAAACTCTCTTACCTTGATCCACACTGTTTCACTGAGGAAGCTGAATGGCACGGATGGATTATCTGGTGTGTGCTTGTTTAGAATGGTGAAATTAATGGACTCTTTGGCAAGTCGGGGTGGGGTCCCAGTCTTCAGTCTTCCTACCACAAACCCCAACTTCTCCAGAGTTTGAGCCAACCCTATAGAGGGCTGATCCCCCAAACGTCCTGCAGGCTGCATCTCCAATCCAATTACGATCATGCCTCTCAGAAATGTCCCAGTTGTCAGAATTACACTCTCTGCATAAATTGTGCTTCCATCTGCTAAATGATTAGAAAAAAAAACATAAAATTGTAACTAACCTTCTGATTGTTACTATAGAATAAAATAGAATGTGAATATTTTATATCAGAATTACAGAAAAACTTCCTATCTCTAGCAATTTTTGTATTTGAGAATTTTTGTAGCTATTTCTATTATTTTATTTTATTTTTTTGGTATGAATGCTCTATCTGCATGCATGCCTGCATGTCAGAAGAGGGCACCAGATTTCATTATGGATGGCTGTGAACCACCATGTGGTTGCTGGGAATTGAACTCAGGCCCTCTGGAAGACCAGCCAGTGCTCTTAACCCCTCAGCCATCTCTCCAGCCCCTGTAGTTATTATTATTTTATTTTGTTTGTTTGTTTTCAAGACAGGGTTTCTCTGTGTAGTTTTGGTGTCTGTCCTGGATCTCACTCTGTAGACCAGGCTGGACTTAAACTCACAGAGATCTGCCTGGCTCTAACTCCCGAGTGCCGGGATTAAAGGTGTGCGCCACCATTGCCCGGCCCCTGTAGTTATTTTATTTTTTTAAGATTTATTTATTACATATGCAGTGTTCTGCCTGCATGCCAGAAGAGCGCGCCAGGTCTCATTACAGATGGTTGTTAGCCACCATGTGGGTGCTGGGAATTGAACTCAGGACCTTTAGGAAGAACAGCCAGTGCTCTTAAGCGCTGAACCATCTCTCCAGCCATTTTTTTTTAAAGCATTTTTTTTTTTTTTTTTTCACCAGAAAAAAGAAAAAAAAAAAAAAGAATCCTGCCATAGGACTGAGAATATAGTTCTGTGGTGGAGTGCTTTTTTTTTTTTTTTGTCGGAGCTGAGGACCGAACCCAGGGCCTTGTGCTTGCTAGGCAAGCGCTCTACCACTGAGCTAAATCCCCCCCCTCCCATAGTCATTTTTAAAAACTTAAAAGTGCAGCCAGATGTGGTAGTGCATGCCTTTAATCTCAGCACTCTGGAGGCAGAAGCTGGC